GAAAATTCCACACCCTCAAGCTTCAATCAATCAATACCCCAGAAAAGCATTAAAATAATTTTGTCAATTTCTATCAGATTGATTTTATCTAAACTATGTTGTTTATGTGCTTTGCATGACTGAATGGTCCCAAAAGTGCAAGTGATCCCCACAGTTACTTTGTCCTTCCTCACTTGATAGCACAACACTCACTTGGCCCGGGGTGGGCAGGCCCACACTGTGCTCTGCACCTTACAGCCCTGTGGCCAGTGGTCTCCAGGTGCCCACGGGACCAGGTGGCAGTAGAAGCCATGAGTCACAAGCAGGTTCCCAGCCACAGGGACAAGTGGGCTCCCCAAGCCAACTTTTTCCTTTTGGTTGGCCAGAACTCCAATGAACCATGGTAGACAGTGAAGATGGCCGGCAGTGTGGCCAGGCAGAATGAGCCAGGCCCCTATGTTCAGAGCAACCACATTGGCCTGGATGGCTTGATTCTGGCTGTATGTTAGAGAAACTTTCCATCTCACTTAAGCTCCTGTTGCTTGAAGTTCTATAATGCAGCAGCAAAACTCATATTCTAAATGATTGAAAAGCTATGTGACATTTAATTTAAAAATTTAGAAATAAAAACAGATTGTGTCATTGTTCTGTCTGTGGAAAGCCAGTGTGGGGAGACAAGTCTCTGGGCAGACAGTTCTGTGTGTGTCACGTGAATACATTTCAAGAGTGGGGCTAGCTGTTAGCTCACAGTGTAGTGGTTACAGACCAGGGATCTCCTTTCCTGGGTATTTGTACATTACCTGTTGACCCAGTGCTTCTGTCAGTTAAGTATTATGAAGGCTCACACCTTGTGAGTCTTGGAGTAGCCATTCAAATACAGGTTTCTTGAAATCCAAACATATTTTCATGTCATAATATCATTTTCAACTCATTTAATGATATGCTATAATGACATGAATACCTAAGTAACAACACATATAAAATCATTTCAAATAAGTCTTAAATTGTCTTAAGTTTGATATTCTTATACAGTAAGTCCCCAGCTTAGGAACATTTAAGTGTCAAACTTTCACAGATATGAAGGGACCTCATATTATGTAAATCCAAGCAAATCACAGAAGTAGCTCTCATGTCTACTGGACAGTTGTGCTGCTGCTGTGCATTTACTACACAGTGCTATAGTGTACAGGGGTACAGAGCTCAGTCTGAGCCCAGGATGTCTGAAAGCAAGAGGAAAAGCAGTGATGTTGTAGAGGTTTGTGATTTTTTCATGTTTTACATTGTGTATATGTGACAAAGGTGCATAAGACTCACTTTGTCAGACCTACAAATGAATCCAACTTACAATGCTAGAGTGGAACTCATTCCTAAATCCAGGACTTATAGTAGTGAATGTCTGGGTTAGTGATCGCAGATGTTTTGATTCTACCAAGTGATTATTCATTTAAAACTTTTAAAACTTAAGTGCACAAAGGAAAATATCTCTTTTCTCTTAGATCTACTCACTTATTCTTTTCAATTACCTTTAAGATTTCTTCAAGTTGAATACAAATACAGTGAAAGAGAAAAGAGAGCTTTTGTTTATATAACCCTAGAAAATACTTGCTTTGCTCTTTTACCTTTCATTCTCTTTACAAGCTACAGTAGGAAATTCTGTTTAAAATACTATCAATTCCACTTTAAATGGCTATTCTGGCTGTCTTTCATGGAACCAATGTGGTGACTTTTCTTTTCCTAGTTTAAACAAGCACAGCAATTTATTATAATAAGAACCAGGCTGTGTTTAGCTCTGCCACTGATTTTCCTTTTAGATATCTCAAGGTAAAGAGTGAAATGTTACAAATATTAAAATGGATGTTGTCTCCTATTAAGGGTTATTTCACTGAATTTTTTCTTTTGATTTTCAAGGCCCTTGATTGTTACTTTTTCTCTACCCCACTTTTTCATTACCTTAATATTTTGTGATAATTCAATTGGTTTCTTCCTGCCCAACATCAGTCCCTAAAAACCCCTTTTCTTACCTACCTCCACTGTTAAAACTGGGAAGGCCTAATATGGATGTTTTTAAACACACTTGCAGCTAGATGTATTCATGTAAGAAAATTTCAGACAATGAGATGCAGGAGACATCTTTAGATGGTTTTCTTTTCTGACTAAAAGAAGAACACAAATCTATCTAACTGGTTGGCTGTAGCTCCAGTTTTGCCTCCAGGGCCACCTTTCCTCCTCCTGGCTATGGACTATGTGACCTGGAGCCACAGTGATGCTCTTGAAACTATTCTGTACCTTACTCAAATGCTATCTCAGATTTCACTCTTTCTTCCATGATTAAAATGTAATGTTCCATGTATTGTCTTTAGAACTCAAAATCTTTATTTTACCACTCATTAGCTCTGCAATTTTAGGTGTGACTGAATTTTTGTACCCTGATTATCACATCAGTAAAAGGAGACATTTTAAAAATCTACTTTACAGGATGTTACACAAATCAGAGATAAATTATATAAAGCATAGCACATTATTAGAGCTCAGCAAATGGTAGTTATTATTGCTACTCCAACTCCTGAGTCTGCCACATAGATTTACCATATACCTATATTGCATAACCTTTCACACTACTATAGGGATCTGAAGAATCCCTCTGCTGCTTACATTATATCACAGTTTCCTAAAATACTGCTAAGATTGTCTCTCAATGCCATCGTGCCCAGTATTCCCACCCCTCATCCAAGAAAGGAGCAAGTTTACCTTGCAGGACATTGCTCAGGGAATTCAGTTTTATATAATGAATTCCTTTGGTTGAGTAGGGGCTTACTTGTTTGTACTTTCTTAAACTTTTAATTTTCAGACAACTGTAGATTCACATGTACTTGTAGAACATAAGAGAGGGATTGTATGTTTTGGTATCTTGTGTTTTTTAAGAAATTAGTCCATTTCATGTAAGTTGTCACAATAGTTTATGTGGAGTAGTTTATGGCACTATCTAATTATCCTTTTGCTATCCACAGGGACTGTAGTTACATCCTTTATGATACTTGCAATTTGTATCTTTCTTTTATTTCTTTCTCAGTCTTGTTAGAATTATGTCAATTTTGCTAATCTTTTTAAGGGATTCCTTGTTTCTTACATTGATTTTTCTCTGTTGTTTTTATACTTTCTTTGATATTGATATGCTATACTTGACTGCCATTTTGTTCAATGTACTTTTTAATTTTCTCTTGACTTCCTCAGACTTATAGATTACTTAGAAGTGTTTTTGCTTGGTTCCTAAATGTTTGGAGACTTTTCTATTATCATTCTGTGAAAGATTTATAAATTGGCTCTGTGTGCTTAGAAAACATATTTTTGTAAGTCTTAAATCTTTTTAAATTCACTGGCATTTGTTTTATATCCCAGAATACGATCTAACTTGATGTCAGTTCCATGGGCCTTTGAATAGAATGTGTATTTTATTATTGGATGGAGTGGTCTATGTAATGTTGATTAGATGCTAATTGATAAGATAATTAGATAATGACTTTTGGAGTATTTTATGATCTTGCTGATTTTCTATCTATCAAGGAACTGGAATGTAAAAGCCTTCAACTGCTGTGGACTTGTCTATTTATCCTTTCAGTTTTGTCAATTTTTGCCCTATATATTTTATATCTTTGTTCTTTTAGGCATACATGTTTAACATTAGTATGTCTTTTCGGTGAATTGACACTTTTATAAATATATAATGTCCTTTTTGGTCTCCTATAATTTTATTTGCTCTTACATATAAGTGTAAAATATTGTTGCTTTCCTTTGTCATGTTTGCATAATACATCTTCCTTTAAACCTTTTTTTGTCTTTGAGGCAAGGTTTCATTATACAGTTCAATCTGGCTTTAAACTCACTTTGTACCCCAGGCTGACCTTGAACTCACAGCAAACCTCTTGACTGAGCCTCCTGAGTGCTGGTATTGCAGGGGTGTGTCACCATGCCCAGCTCTTTAAAACCTTTTACTCTAAACCTTTGTGCTTTGGTATTTTAAAGTAAGCTGCTTAAGGAAAATGTGACTTTACATCATGTATTTTAACCTATTCTACTAATCTTTGTCTTTTCACTTGTGTGTTCAGACTCTTTATATTTAATGTAATCAATGATATGCTAGAGCTTTTGTCACTTTTTAAAAAATTTTTCATCTCTATTAATTTGTCTACTTTTTTTTACCTTCTTTTACATTAATTAAAGATTTTTAAAGGGCTTCGTTTTTATCTATAATTGTACTTTAGGTACATCACTACATATCTTAATGATTGTCCTCTGCATATACATGTAAATATATAGTCTACTGTATTTTTAGTTTACACATTTTATCAAAGTATATAAATCTTACCTCTTTTTGTACTTCCTTTTACCAGTTCTCCCACTTAAGATCTACTGAACACTTAACATGCATCTGTGACACAATCCAATTTTAAAATAACAATTTGTAGCAACTTATCTCACTGGCAGTAGAACAAGTGGATAATATATATGGGTCCTCTGAAGTGCCTCAGATTGAGGAAACAGCAAAGACATGGCTGTCTGTATCTGGAGGGGATAAGATGGCTGAGATGAAAGTTCTCTACTCATCACAGAAATTATGGAAGCTATTGTGATCACCCCATTCCTTACCCTTAAGTTGAAGAACCAGACTCATCATTTTATTGTTTCATTGATTACTAGAATTTACTATTGAAAAAAAATTCTGTGATATCATTAACATGTTGTACTACTATTTCAAAATTTACAAATGTTTAAGTAAAGTTATAGCTACTCATCTAAAATTTAATGATTTTTATTTCTTATATCAGCTTTTCTATTATCTCAGTAACTAGCTTTTTTAAGCAAGGCCATAATATTTTGCATTGTTTTTGAAAATTATAGTTTTCATTATCACCAAAGATTATCTGGCATTTACTTTAGCTAATATATTCTTATATATTGCACTAAGATGAGTTTCTATATAAATAACTGAACTAATGAAAAATTTCCTTTTCATCTGAAAACAGAATGATATTGAAGAACTTGATGGCATGCTTACATCCATATTCAAACAAGAGATACCATATTATAACTTCCAATATCTTCAAAGTGAAATTTGCCCTCAAAATGAATGTGAGTATTTTTTAACTGAATCCATTTTTCTTATACTGTATTCTCCTGTATGTGATTCTTTAATAAATGTTATAGCCAAAAATATAACTAGCTGCTTAAATAGTTTAGACAGTCCCCAACTTCTAAGGCAAGATAACACTAGTACAAACTTCTGAAGGAAGACCCATTTAGCAATTTTCCCTCCATAGGATGTAAAAATGTGTAAAACTTTGAAACTGGTTTTTGTTCTAAGTAAACACTTGAATGCATTTAGGATGGCTATTATTCATCATATCATTGTTTACAAATTACCCTCAAATAGAAACAATTTCATCTTCCAAAGGTATGTGATTATATAAATTTTAATGCTATTATTAATGCAGTCATCAGTAATTAACTTTATGATAAATTCAGCTGAGGTAACGTTTCCATACATGCTTAATTAAATAAAAGTAAGGCATGTAGCTATAAAGTGTTATTTTCTTTTTTTAAAAGTGTGAACATAGCATGAATTATATATATAAATTGGTAGTCTGAACAGATGTGTACCAAGTATTCTCAGTAATTGTATTTGGGTTCTATAATTTCAGAGAATACTTTTTTCATTTTACTGAATCCATATTTTCTATAATGACCATATATTATTTAGCTATTTATGAATAATCATATTTCTAAATGATATAAACCCAGTAGGGTTTTTTAGAAACTTTGTGTCTCTGTATAGTTTACTGAAATACTGCTTATTATCCATTTATATATCCAGCACATGGGAGCCTTGCTATAACACTGAATAAGATGAGAAGTCTAGTGTTAGCATCCTAAGGACAAATGGTCAGTGATTTTCTATTCCCACACTGTTTAATACGGTTTTGCCACCAGCCTGGCCAGCTGAAGGGCCTTGGAAAGGAAAGAGTAAGAGCCTAAGGTATCAATGATGCCAATTCACCCAAGGAGTGAGGAGCTGAAAAAGGCAACAGATTCTGAGGGAGATAAGCCAGTGTTATACATGTTTGGAATAAGTAATCTTGTAAGATTCGTGCAAGTTGACTCTTTTTCCCATTTATATTTTAGCAATGCATAATTCATTTATGTAATTGGATATTGGATTAGGACAGAAAAAGAGTGGCATAATTCCTGATTTAAGACAATTATAATTTAATTGAGGACATAAGATAATGTACATGTAATGATAGAAACAATATGATAAACTTTTTGGATGTAATTATATTGATAATAGAATTGTGGAGAAGAGAGATATCACTTTTCAAGACATATTTCAGAAAGAAGGTGAGAATGTACCTAGGTCTTAAACGATGGGTAGGGTCTCAGTGAGGAGGGAAAGATGAAAAGCTAATTCTAGGCAAGGAAAGTGTGTGCAAAGGTATGAAGTTGACATTATGACACAATTTTTATGAAATTCCTGAGAATTATACTTGTATTTAAGTTTATGAAATTAGAATTGTGGAGTTAGAGAGGAAGGAATTGTTGTACTCTCTCATTTGTACAAGTAAAGACTTTGAGATCAGTTTGAAAGTTCTGCTCAGAGGAGAAATAGGAATTTCAGAATTGGAAGTGCCATGGTCTGAATCTAGAATGTCCTCAGAGGTCTGTGTGTAAGAGCCACATCCCAGGGCTGGCACTGGAAAGTGCTGCACTTTTACAGGTCGTTGGGTGCACTCTTTTCTCATCTTTCTGTCTCTGTCTCTCATCCCTGGCCTTGGGGTGAGCAGGGTTTCTCCAGGACACTCTCTGTCCCCTATAACATGCTGTCCCACCCTTACTATAGACCCAGAAGCAATGAGGCTACCCACACATGGACTGCATCCTCCAAATCTATGAGCAAAGTCAACGTCTTCCCTTTATAAGGGGATTACATCAGGTATTCACTAACAAAAGTTGACTAATACAGAAAAGATGGGTGGTTTTGCCCCTTAATTTTAATTTTGTAGATGAAAGATTCTGGACAGGATAAATCAGATCCCTTAGAAATGTGAGGCAGGTGGTTTTCAATGTCTGCCTTTCTAAGAGTCTCTGGGGAAGCTGCTGCTGCTGACCATGTATCAGAGTTTCAACTTTGGATCTTTACTGTGGTTGTATAATGCACTCACCTGCAGGCTTGAGAAGCATCTGTGCCTCAGCCACACCTGCACCAATGGGTGAGGAATCTGGGGCAGGTGCAGCACTGGTTGATTGAATGTTTCCCAGGCAGTTCCACTAGGCATTAATGTTTACCAGGCCTGTCTTAGTTACTTTTCTCATTACTGAGACAAAATACCCAATACCCACAAGTTAAAGGGAAAGTTTATTTCAGGTCACAGACTGTAGAGGTTTCAGTCCATAGTGAGGCAAGGCAGGGTGGCATGGCAGAGAGGCACCACAGAAGATAAACAGTCCATGGCAGGGCAGGCAGGAGACAGTGAAGGAGCAAGCAGCAACAGCATCCTTCTTCTTTCTGACCCTTCATACTCCATCCAGGCTACAACTGTGTTGACTTGTGCCACCCACACCCAGGGCAAGGCTTCCATTATCCACACTCTTAATCTCATTAGTACACCCTTAATCCATATTCACATACCCAAGTCCAGCTACTTTGAAACTCCCCACCTATGACCATATGAGGCTTTTGGGGGAAATCTAGACACAAGCCACAGTAAAGCTTACCTGCTTCACTGTCCTGCAGACCAACAAATTCACACTGAGGTTTTATATGGAGAAAATATTAATGCTTTAGAAAGGTTAGAAAGTTCATAGCTCATGAAGTTTTAAAACATTATGAGAATTTGAAGATAATTCTGTATTTGAATTTTTTCATAAAACACAATTATACTTGTTTTAAAGCTAAAAATGGGAAATTTAATATAATGAGTTAATACATCTAAAAAATTTATTGCTGGGTATTGCTTGATAGAAGATGCTGCTAAATCTGTAAAATAACCAACTACTCTCATAATGTTAAGCTCCAATTCCTGCCTGCTGGGTCCCATTTTGCTGTCTCCCTGAATCTGCAAACATGGCTCTGTGTTCAACTCAGGATATCTGATCTCTAAGAAATAACAACTGTGATGCATAATGTCCAAGTGCAATTGCTGATCAGAGATACCTGTACATATAAATGAATTATTAGAAGATATTATTTTATTGAGGAATCCCCTGCAGGTAAGGAGTCAGGTGCAACTAGGTGCTTGTCCTTGATCTGATAGCAGGGCTCTAATAATTTGGTGAAATACTTATTAAACATTTGTTTCTTATTTCTCCATACTTTGACTCCAAATAAATTGGAGACCAGGACATTCTGACAAGAGTATAACCATAAAAATCTGACAAAATATCCCTTCAGTGTTGACATACCTTCAGGTTACTCCAGGAAGTTACCTAAAGATACCAGTAGTTCTTTAAAAGTGTGGAGCTAAGAGATGAATCATCCAAAACTATTTATTTTAGTGTTACCCCATTTTTATGGAAAGTTCTGTGTTTAGTTCCCTGTCACTCCATTCATAATGAGCAAAATACTATGTCCTGGTCATTCTCACTCCTGTCTGGACAATACACCTCCTCCTTTGGCATGTGTCTTCAAGTTTTGCCCTAGGTGAGCCAAGGAGGGGATGGATGGAGATAAGATAGAAAGTATACAAGAAAGAAAACTCTTCTCTAATGTTCTCTTACTTTGTAATGCTCTATTTTTTTTAGAATAATACTTTCCATGCACAAAAATTTTCCATTGGAAAATATTTTCCCTGAGAGTAGAATATAAGGTTTCTAAGGCAAGTTGGTACACTAAAACAACATGAGACTTTTGAACACAAGAATCACAGAAAGGATTAATGATCAGTGTTTTAGTATGTAAATCACTGGGAGCTGTGTGAATCAATAGAAGGGACTGTAATAAGCACTTTTTTTTTCTGCTGTATGAGAAAGAAAAGAATGTATCACTTCAAATAGTAGAAAGCCCCACTTTAAGCAAAATCTGCTGGAGTTGCACACTGCTGTATGAACACGTATTTTGGGCCATCTTCAGAAATGTCCCATGCTGCTCGCTTGGTGCGGTGTGTGGCAGAAGGAACAGAGCAGTGAGTCACGCTCCTTCAGTCTCCTCCCTCGCACAGCAACAACTGTGGATTTTCTTAGTTTCTCTCGAGAGCTCTCATAAAAGCAAGGCTGATACAAACAGATAAAATTAACATCAAAGGCATGTTACAAACAGATAAAATTACCAAAAAGGCATAAGTACTGCAAAGCAGACATTATATGGACCTTTTCTCTTTGCATTTTAAACTCCCTGGGGGAAAATTCAGACATCACGAAGAAATTAACATGAAGGAAAAAATGGGTAAGAATATTCCTCATTCTGGCATGAGAAGTGATACGTGATAGAGGAAGTTTTGGTTATATAAACTCACTTCAGATTAGTAGCAAACACATTACTTATAAGTAAATGTAAAAAATTAGGGACAAATTTATATATAACAGTTTCCACATTTATTACACAAATTGCAGATTTGGCATGGAAATGGAGTGTAAAATTTTGGATTTTTCCACTTCATTTTTTTGTTAACACAACCCACAAGAACAAATTTTCACACCTACTGGTGATATTTTTAGTATGTTCTCAAGACAATTTCGTGAGTTGGTGGTTCAATTTGGATCAAACAATAAAACAACACCGCCACTTTGAATCCCTCAAAATATTTTAATTAACTACATTTTAAACATCTAAAAAGACCACCAAATATCTAATGGTAAGGGACAAGCTGACTGACTCAGACAATAAATGATGTTAGTGAGTGCAAGAAAAAAAGCATAAACCAAAGAAAACAGAGAAGAGGATCATATAAAGACTCAGTTAACTGCCCCTCAGCTCATTTTCCAGTGCAGTGGACCTCGGTTTCACTTGGTCTGCATCCTCCTACTGTTTTAAATATCCCCAAAGTTGGTATCAAATCAATAAGACTGAGGTGAGATGCACACATATTGAGAAATGTGTGAATAAAAGCCCATAGGACAAATTCTGAATAGGTCCATGT